AGAGAGAGAACCATCGATGTGAGAGAGAAACATTGATGGGCTGCCTCCTGCATGCCCTGCCCTAGGGATCCAGCCTGCAACCTGGGCGCCTGGCCGGAAAGCAAACCGAGACCTCTCAATCCATGCGATGGTGCTCAATCCACTGAGCCACACCGGCTGGGTTCTTTCTTCTTTTATTATTTTAAAATCCTTACTCAAGGATATTTTCCCATTTATTTTCAGATAGAGTGGGAGGGAGAGATATATAGAGACAAACATCAATGTGAGACACATTGACTGGTTGCCTCCCGCATGACCCCAACCAGGGCCAGGGACTGAACTGCAACTGATGTACGTGCCCTTGACTGGAATCGAACCTGCAACCCTTTGGTCCACAGGCTGACGCTCTAACCGCTGAGCCAAACTGGCCAGGGTTATTTAATTCTCCTTTTAATCTTAAACTATGTCATTAGGTACACACACCTCTAGGTTACTGTGTCTTCCAGTTGAGCTGAGCCCTTTATCATAGCACCATGTTTGTCTCTGACCCAGGTAATTCTCCTTGTCTTAAAGGTGTCACTTACTGTAATGTTATTCTTGTCTATCAGCTTTCTTATCTTATGTTTGTATGGTACATATATTCCCCCCCACCCCCTTTTTTTTTAGTTTCAATGTGTTTAAACAGCATGTAGTCAGGTTAGTTATGTGGTTTTATTTTTTTGGTTAATCCTCACCCAAGGATATTTTTTCCATTGATATTTTTAGAGCGAGTGGAAGGGAGGGAGGGAAAGGGAGAAAGAGAGAAACATTGAAATGAGACGCATCAATTGGTTGCCTCCTGCATGTGCTCCAACCGGGGCCAGGGACTGAACCTGCAACCCAGGTAAATGCCCTTGACTGGGAACTGAACCTGTGACCCTTTGGCGCATGGACCGAATCTCTAACCATCTAATCACTGAGCCACACTGGCTAGGGCAGGTGGTTTTCTTTATATTTGGTCTAGCAACTGTCATGTTAGAGTTTTTAGTCTATATTTAATGTCATTATTAGTGTGGCTGAATTTAAATTTACCATTTGCAACTTGTTTTCTATTTGTGTTATCTGTACTGTTCTTTTTTTCTTACTTTCCTGCTCCATTTGGATAAAATAATTACTTAAAAAATCCCATTTTTCGCCCTGGCTGGTTTGGCTCAGCGGTTAGAGCGTTGGCCTGCGGTCCAGAGAGACCCGGGTTCGGTTCCCGCTAAGGGCATGTACCTTGGTTGCAGTTTGTCCCCGGCCCTGGTTGGTTGTGCGGGTGGCAGCCACTCGATGTGTCCCTTTCACATCGATGTTTCCCTCTCTCTCTCTGTTCCTCTCTCTCCCTCCCACTCTACCTGAACAAAAAAATGGAAAAATGTCCTCGGTGAGGATGATAAAAAAACAAACAAACAAACAAAAATCCCATTTTATTTGCACTATTGGCTTATTAATTACACCTCTGTTTTTATTGTTTTCTTTGGGGAATTTATAATATGTATCTTTAATTTATCCCAGTCCACCTTCAAATAGTACTGATCCTCTGCGCACATATTTAGCACAGGGGTGTCATTCTTACTTTTGTTCTGTGATAATGTTTTCTTTTTTTTTCTGGCTGCTGCTAGGATTTTCTCTTTATCAGTGGTATTCAGAATTTTATAATGTGCCTTGCTGAATTTTTGTTGTATTTATTCTGCTTGTGGCTTATTGAACTTCTTGGATTGATGAGTTTATAGACTTGGAAAAATTATGGTCATTATTTTATCAAGCAAATTTTGCCCTAATCTCCCCCCTTTTCTGGGACTCCAGTCACTTGTGATGAAGCATCTATTTTTGGGGCCAGTTTTCTTTTCATTCTGTGCTTCATGGGGACACACATGGCTCATTGGTACTTTCTCCATAGCCCTGCCCAGGGTCTGGCACACGTGGCCGACGCCTGCCTCTTCCCATGGGTACTTACTAGACTTGGCACAAAGTGGCACTGGGGGACTGAGATGACGCAGGGTCAGCAACACAGATTAACGGCAGCAGCCTCAGCTGATGTGGTCAGCACTGGATTCCCACCTTGTCAGCAGCAGTCCAGGGCTTACCCGACTGGCAGCATTTTCTGGACGTCTTGTTGATCTCACTAGACCTTCCTGCTGTCAAGAGGACATGCTTGTCCTCATTTTAATGCTCTTATCCTGATATAGGTTTGTCTTCTCTACCCTCAGCATTGCTTCTGCACCACCTGTGGGCTAAGTGAGCGGCTGACTCCCCATCGCCTACCTTGTATTACATTGCAAAGAGATGCATTTTACTGCAAAAGAAACATGGCAGCAGGCACAAACTTGAGCTCCCTGCTCCTCCCAAGTTCCACGCACCCAGAAGCAGCTGGCCTGACAAGGGAAGGTGGCTCGGGTTGCACTGTGTTCACAGTCCCTCCAGCCTTGCAGCGCCCACCTCTGCAGGAGCGCCCTCCTGCCAGTTCAGTGCGGCCACGAATTTCGCTCTGGACGCGGAAGATGCATCTAGTGTGTAGTCTGTCACTTCTGTTCCCTTTGCCATTCACCTGGCAGAGTCCCAGCAGGGGGCAGTGCCGTTAGGTGGGGACACAGTGAAGACACTGGGTAGGGCAGCAAGTGACCTGCCTGAGAAAAGGTGAGGGAGTGATGCACCTGCTGACCCTGACTCCTGAGCCTGTCGCCACAGCAGACCAGCCGTGCTGACTGGCGAGCCCATCCACGTTTCTGCTTCTCTCTGTAACTTTGGGCCCTTCTGCATCAAGGATGTGCTCACACTCAGGGACACAACAGACCCATCACACTTGAAATTCAGATGGTCACCAACTACGTGGGACTCCCGCAATGGAACCAACAGGACAGCAGTGTTCCCGGTACTAATGACACACGGGAAGTGGGGTGCAGTTACTGCATTTGGAACCCAGTGGTCCTCTGGGCTCCTGTTTGTACTTTTGTGACTAATATGACTAATAAAAGCAAGGCAGATACTTTGGAATAAGAATGGTAATCTCATGAGGTAAAGAATCCTCATCTCCGGAGGTATTGGTTGGAGCCAAGGAAACGTGGGAGTGAGTGGTGGGGTTGGTGGAAGGTTTAAGTACAGCTGCTGCACCTCATAACTGGCTACCGAAATGGGGATGGTGGTGACCATGTAAGACTGTCTTCCTGCACACGTATGAGAGCCAGCACACATTAGTTTAACGGTTTCCTCATTTCCCTTACTTCTCAGCATCCACTATTTTATAGAGGGAAGATGTGTGGTGGTGAATGGGGAACTTTATAACTTAGTTCTCACGTTAGAGAATGTCCAGATGGGTGTGTGACTATGCTAGAATTAACATCACCTGGGGACGGATCTGAACTCAAGGGATGTCACATTTTTGGGAAAAGGCAAAAGCATCTCTATTTGGAGGCGTGATCACTGCATCATGTCAGGAAAAATGCATAATGGATGTAAGTCACATACAGGAAGAAGGGTGAGAATGGACATTGAGTAACTGCAGGGTGGACAGTGCTGGTCATTTGTCAGCCTGCTGGCTCTCAGCACCCATTCTCATGAGCTGGAACTGGGGTCTGATGCTACCCTACCAGTGGCTCCTGGTTGGGTCAGAAGATGTGGGGGAGGGACAAGGACAGAGAAGAACCAAGACTGGCAAGGGAAGGGGGCAGAGACTTTCTTGCTCTGGATTCTCATGAGTCTCTGGGGCAGCCCAGGTGCATGCGTCCCATCAGCCTGCCCCAGTCAGAGCGCAGGCAGAGCTGACGCGCTGGGGCCGCGGCAGGTTTGCGGCAGGCACAGGCTCATCACCATGTGCCACACGCCCTCTTTCCGCACCACCCATGCCCACGGCTATGGTGACTTCTTTTGTTTAGACTGGGAGGCTGTGTCCGTCTTTGGATGTAAAATGTCCAGATCCTGTCTTTGCTTTAACCTTTTCCTTTACTCAAAAAAAAGAAAAAGCCCGGCCAGTGTGACTCAGTGGTTGAGCGTCGACCCATGTACCAAGAGGTCGCCGGTTTGATTCCCAGTCAGGGTCCGTGCCCAGGTTGTGGGCCTGATTCCCAGTGAGGGGCATGCAGGAGGCGGCCAATCGATGTTCTCATTCATTGATGTTTCTATCTTCCTCTCTCTCTAAAATCAATAAAGAACAAAATTTTTTTTAAATTAAAAAATAAACACATTTAACCAATTTCAAAGGCAACACTATTTACTGGGTTAAAAGGGGCCTACAAGCAAGTGCAGAAGGACGGCTGCTGCGGGAGTGACGTCCCTGGTGCGTGTCCTGCCGCCCAGGCCGCGACCCTCTGACTACTTCTGTGAACAACCGACTTCCCGAGTGTTACCTGAGCCCTGCGCCGTGGCCAGTGACCTGGACGTTCTCATGTACGGTGTTTGGGAATGTAACACAACAGTTTTTTCTGTTCTACTTCTATTTCTGAATCCTTTACTGATTTAACAGAAGGACTGTAAAGCGTGTTTAAGGTGTATGTGCTTAGCACAGAGACGTTACAGGAATCTACCCCCCTGGGACACAGCCGTGCACGTCTGAGTTCTGTGAAATGCCAGCCACTGTCCATCTGATATTGAAACACTCCAGACCTTCCCTTTACTATCAAGAAAGCTTCTACAGAATTTCAATTATTGGGTCTCCCAAACATGCTAGAAATCTCATCTTGACTGGTTCTCTGGTCACAGTCTAAGAATCGTTCATGTTGTCTTTCTAATGAAAAAAAACCCACACGTAACAAAGAACATGTCCAGGTACATAGGACTTGACGTTTTATTCATTCCGTGGCAAATCCAAAGTCCTCTACATGGCGCCCTTCCCGGCAGGGCCCACCCCGGCAGGTCCCACCCCGGCAGGGCCCACCCCGGCAGGGCCCACCCCGGCAGGTCCCACCCCGGCAGGTCCCACCCCGGCAGGGCCCACCCCGGCAGGTCCCACCCCGGCAGGGCCCACCCCGGCAGGTCCCACCCCGGCAGGGCCCGGGCCAGGGCCGCCTCGCCTCCCGCTGCGGGGCTTCAGTCCGACACTATGTGCACTCACAGTACTGAATGGCATTGAGTCACCATGAGAGAGAACGTGGATCAGGAGGAGCAAACATCCATTCAAAGTCTGCTTATCAGAGATTTTTTTCCTGAAAACGCACAGCGGCATTTCATTCAAAAAACCCTTCATCTGCAGACACGGAGGACAGAGCCACACGCTCAGGCCCCTTCCTCAGAATATCTCAGTTTGCTCACCTCCTTCATTGGTCACTGGCAGCGTTTTCTCTTTTAAAAATGAATCTTTATGCGTTATGATTATAAAATCAAATACCATCAGCTACCAAGGCTGCATCTGAGTTTCTGTTGTGTCCGACAAGCTGGGCGCCCGCGTGGACCTCAGTGCCCGCCCGTCTGCGTCTGGCTGGCAGTGAGCAGCTGGAACAGGGGAGGTGACAGCCGAACCGGAGTGAGGGCTTTCCTAACGGCGACCGGTAGGAACACATCATGATGCCTCAGGAAATTAGTAAACATTTTCCCTGTGCTTCTGGCCCTGGTGGTCACCTTCAATAGAGATGCCCCAAATATAAAATTTGATTCATTTTAGAAATTAAAAAAAAAAATCTTTTCCCCCAAGGAACCTAGTGGCTTTGCTTCAGGGCACAAACTGGAGTCTGTGGTTATGATTGTGCTTTAAGGACAGGTTCCAATGATGTCCTAAACAAATGCATCAAGGTGGCTTCAGGACGAACAAAGGCAACACCACAGTGTCCCGTCTCGTGCCAGGAAGCACGGCTCCTCCCGACCCGGGGAGGGGCCTTGCGATCCTCCCTGTCTGCTGCTGCCCTTGTGGCCATGACGGAGGGACGTCTGCTCGAGGCTGCCCCCGCTCCCGCTCCCCTCCACACTGTTCCTGTCCACGCAGCTCATCTCTCTGCTTGACCCTACTCGCCAGAGCCTGAGCCAAGGGGAGAGACGGTCATCCTCTGAGTGGGACTCGCGCATCTGTCCAGGGCTGTTGTGGGCTCGAGGTGCACAACCACACACACCCCCGTCGAGCCGGGCCAGGCCTTACCTCCTGCCTAACTCATGCCACCCATGCCCAATGCTTCCATTGCAGCTGACACGACAGTGAAGTAGGTGACGTCGTATTAAAACAGAAATACCAAGTTGGTAACGTTTATAAAAAAAAGAGGGGGATTATTAAAAAGGATTAAGGATCGGAAATTGCGGTTCTGGGCTGGTACTCGTGGTGGCCTGAACGGGAGAGGAACTGACCTGGTAGACAGAGGCCAGAGAGAAAGTGAAGTCAAAGCCACAAACAGCCTCAGATTCTATCAAAATAGGGCCTATAAATAAATATCCTCTGACCCTCAAAGGAAAATGAAGTAGAAAAACAATTTTCTGTTTTTTAAAAACAATGCTGAATGTTTCCTGAAATATCTAAATGAAGTTTATAAAATATTCATGAACTCCCACAAATATAGAAATGTTTAAAAACCAGATGGCGGGTCGGCCGCTGTGACGCCAGTGGTCGGCAGAGGGTTGTGCTGACATCGGACACACGCTGCGTGTCCCATTTCCAAGTGCGTGGAGGCTGCCCGCCTGTGTGCGGCCTCGAACCGACCGTGGGCCGTGAGGAAAGAATGAGATGAAAATCTAAAGCCAGGGCACCCCGGGTGAAAACAAGCCACGCCTGCTGTCCACCCAGCCCCCAAGGACCTGCCCAAGAGGGTGACCCCTGAGCCTGGCCGAGATGGGCAGGACATGCCCCACGCGGTCTCACTGCAAGGAGACCAGGCGCCATGAACGAGGTTTTCCTTCCGATGCCCCGCAGGCGCCCGCAGGCCGGTGCCTCACAGGGAAGCAGCGTGGCAACGCCCCAGCCTCGGGAGCTCGGGCCTGGGACAGTGGCCGTGCAGCCTGTGTGGAGAGTGGAACCGGAAGGTCACAGCAGACAGGCTCACAGCCACGTGGAGGGGGGCGACCACCAGGGAGCAGCCTCGTCGCTCTGGCGCCTCCGTCTTAGTCCAGTTTCTTACGCACGGGTTTCCTCCCAGCATCCGAGTTCTCAGGGCTGAAGTCAGCACAGAAGCCGTTGGGGGTGGGGGCCGGGGGCGTCTGTGCACAGCTCTCAAAAGGCAGCTGGTCAGGGTACAGATACTCCTTTGCGAAGTCGGGGTACATTTCTGCAAACCTGTCAAAGTCGGCTGGAGAGACAAGGGCACCATAGTTACGGGGGCCTCTGGGACAGACATCTAGGGTTTGGAGCCCTTCCCTGGACCTAGATGCATCCCCTCCACTCACTCTGGCAGGGCTGGGTCTATACTGATGGTCTTGGAGTTGAGGACAGAACCTGCACTCAGTTTTCTCTGCTTCTCACAAAACCAAAACCACAGCAAAGGGGAAGCCAGTGTCCTCTCAGCTACCCCTGCTTTGGAGAAATCTAAAGAAATGGCATGATTCTGAATTCAGTGGATACTCTAGATACTCAGAGCATGTGAGGGAGGTGCTGCTCATCACAGGAGCTGGTTCAGGGACAGGACAGAGCATCACGTGGTGACTAATACTCCATGACGCAGGCACTATTGATGGACATGGCTGAGCACTTGGAAGACTAGGTGTGCACAGAGGGTCACTATGGGCTGGTCACAGGGCCTGAGGCCTCCATGCCTGTGCATCTCCCAGTGGCCCAGGGCCTGGGTCAGGGTGGAGAGCACCCTCAGGATTGTATTAAGGCAACCTGAGAGTAGCTGATGCTCAGAGGCCTGGGTGTGGGAACTTGCAGGCTCCAAGGACAAGTGTCTTGTGGGAAACTTGGAACTGCTTTTACTGGAAAAGTCTGTAGTTGGTCAAGCTAACTATAAACCTCATCAACAACTCCCAAATCCACTGGGAAGCAGGGCCTACTTTAATGTAGATGAGAGCATGAGCGCATGTGTACACACACACACACACACAGACACACACACACAGCTAACAACCACCTCCCACCCCACACCCGTGCCTGACATTTGGATGCAATTTTAAAACATGTCCAAACAAGACGTGCACGATGACCTTTCCTGAGCAAATGTCTGCTTGTTTTTCAGCAAGAACACTTACTCATTTGAAATGTGGCCAGTCGGCTGTGGGCTGAGCAGCCCACCTTCTGAGATCCTATTGCCCAGCCCCCTCCTCAGCCTGCAGGTGGGTTTCAGGTCCTGGTCCCTGAGGATCTGGGCCACCCTGCTTTGTACAGCCACAGGTAACGAAGCCAGAACCTTTCCAGAGAGGAGCTGCCTGGCAGTCAGTCCTCACGGACGGGTGGACCCACCCTGCACCAGGACTCGGATCTGAGACCCTGATTTTGCAGATGACCTGCCCTGGCTTGGCACACACACCCACAGCCCCCAGATGGCACCTATCCCGGGTCCTAGCTCTACAGCTGAGCTTGGAACTTGGTTCTATTAATCACTTGCAGAAATTAGATCAGAACGCTCCCACCCACCTGGGCCAGATTCAGGAAGAACCTTCCTCCTGAGAATTTGTGTTGCGAAGACACAGGGTGGCCTGCGAGCACAGGTGGCCAGGGACTACATGTGTGTTCCCCACTTCCTGCACAAGTGGCATCCTCCCTGCTCCCGGGGCCTCTCACCAAACGTGATCTTCCCCTTCTCCTCCTGGTCGATTGCCTGAAAGAGGTCAGTCACGGTGAGTTCCGCCACCCCTAAGGCCGTCTTGAGGATGCTGGACAGGGCGTCCTCGTCTATGCTACCATCCTCCTGAGACCCGTACATCTGCAAGGCAAGGTCGGCATCACCCCGAGGTCCCCCTTCTCCGTCCTCAGGCCCCACCAACTCCAACTGCCTGTCTAGAGTGGCCTGCTTCCCCCCTCGGTGTTCCAGCTCTCCACCAGGCCCTAATCCCACCAGACAGCATGGTCAGAACAGCGTGTCACCCTAGGGAGTGCTGAGCCTTCTGAGCAGTCACCCATGCTCCTACCTACAGCTGGGCTCTGTGGGGTGTTTGTCTTCCTGGTCAGAGATGGCGCCTGTGCTCTGGGCCTTGTCTGGCATACACGGGCTTTTGCTTAATGAAACAGATGAGCTAGCACCTTGCCTGACCTTCAGGAGGTGGCCAATCTGCTGACCACACCCTTTCTCTGATGGCTTCTGTTTAGTTTCAGGCGAGGGGCGTGCGCTGAGGCCATCAGCGCGGCTCCCGTGAGGGGCTTCTGCAGAGAAGTGCTGTAGGCAGGTGCTCCACCCCTCGGGAAGAGGCTACCATCCTCCTCTGGCGCCACCTCCTCCCACTGCCCATGGTACCTGCCCCTCAGGTGGGATGCTTGGCACATGGCCCCCACGTGGCCATGCTGTGTTCTGACAAACAAGCTGAGTACCTCCCCCACAACTGTCATTACGCCACAGATTCTACTGGGTGACTCAGAGAAGCTACAGGGCAGGGGCCCATCGGAACAGGGCGTGCTGAAGGCAAGGCCACCATAGGCACCATGAGCCCACAGGGCAGTCTGGACACGGGCTTGGGGCCCTTAGATGTGGCCTGCCCAGGCCTAGAGGAGGCAGATCAAGCTTCCCTGGACAGGAGCTACCAAATACTGACATCACCCAGTGAGCCCCCTGGTGTGATCCACATAAGCCACCCATACTGAGAACTTGCCAGTGTTGCTGTGGAGAAGGTCTGTCGGGTCAGAACCAAGAGGAGGGGTTTCTCAGGGCAGTGAGAGGCAAGCAGCTTTCTGACTAATACATCCAGTTTCATGGGTCTGGCTAATGTGAATTAAACCTGAGAGAAGCACCCACTCTGAGACCCTGACAGAACTGTCTGTAGGTGGGCAAAGCCAGCCCAACTCCATCCAAGGTATCAGTGTCCTGGTGAGGCCAGCAGTATCTGCAGTTGGGCCAGGACCCCGCCAGGAGACTCCTGCAGCTCCCAGACTCCCAGCACCAGTGGGGAATGGCCTGTCTGGAATGTGCTGGGGCAGGCAGCTCCTTAGTGCCCTGGGCCCTGCTTTCTTCCCAGTCAATGGGCTGATCTGGAGAACATGCTGGGAGAACTGGTAAGGCATGTGGCACCCAGCTGCCCCACCCAAGCGCCCCAGGCCTCAGGAGGACCCTGTCCTGTGCCCTTCTCATGAGTGAGAATGCTACTTCCAGGAGGATCTAATTTGAGGAGGTTTGGGTGCATTTTTACAAACAACGGCGGGTATAAGTTTATGTGAACACAGCACTCAGGCTAACAGGTGTGACCACATTACTATGGACTATAGAGATGCATCACAGGTCTGATGTAACTCATGTCCCACTGTACCCATAAATTACCTTGAATGCCAGCTGCATGGTGTCCAGGGTCTGGGCCGGCCGACAGACGACAGACAAGGCAACCACATACTCCCGTGGGTCCATCTCGCTGCTCCCGCTCTGTGGAAGACAGACCCCTCAGGGGAAGCTCGGCTACCTCCCGTGGGAGAGCTGAGGCTTAACACTGGCTGCTGGGTATTAACTAAAGGTTAGTTCCACACAAACTGGAAATCATTTGTCTACATGAAAAGATCATTTGAAGAATGTTCCTAACCACCGGTTCCTCCACTTTTTGAGGCCGTTACAACAAATTTTCAGTCTACAGGACTGTCACGTGAAGCTGCTCAAGAAAGTGTGTGCAGATGATGCAGTCTGTTGCTTTCTTTTGGAAAAGCAGGCCTGCCAACAGCAAGGCTCCCTCCCGGGCTCCGAAAACCTAGCCTGCTCGTGGCCCGCAGCGAGCATGTAAAACAGGGGAGTCCTGAGCTGGATGTGGACAGCAGCACCAGGCCAGCTGCGGGCACTAAGCAGGCCTGCCAACAGCAAGGCTCCCTCCTGGGCTCCGAAAACCTAGCCCGCTCGTGGCCCGCAGCGAGCATGTAAGACAGGGGAGTCCTGAGCTGGATGTGGACAGCAGCACCAGGCCAGCTGCGGGCACCAAGCAGGCTGAGGTCACACTGGGTCTCAAGCCTGTGTGCTCCTGGTTCTGGGAGGTGTTTAGCCTTGGGTGTGAGGCTCTCTGTGGAATGGAGAATATTCCTATCTTGTAAGACCAATGTGCCCTTGAAATAGTAAAAGATAAAAATGAACAACCCACAAACTGTGGTAAGATGCCTGGTGCTCGATGAAGGCTCACTAGTAACGCACCACCAGGAGACGTCACCAGCCGAAACCATGCTCACGCTCGTGTTGCAAACCCGACACTGTGGTCAAAGTGCCCGAGTGAAATGCAGCCACAGCCGTGGCTCTGACAGCAACGGAAACCCACGTCCTCAACATGTGCAAAGCTGCCTTCACGTCAGGTCTCCCAGATGGGCAGGTGCTCAGCACACACTGTGGTGCTGCACAGCCTGCAAACGCGTGAGGGTCCCTTGTGCCCAAATCACTCATGCCAGATCCTACCATGCCAGATGACACTGCACCTTGTGGCCACACAGAACATGCAACGGTCACACAAAATATGCTATGTTGTACACACATGAAATTCCAAGTGTTCACAGAGAATACACTACGCTGTCCACATGCAACATGCCACATTGTTTACACAGCACATACTATGTTTTTCACATGGAACATTCATGGTGAAGGAGCCCCTTCACACACACCACATGACTGTCTCCTACAGGACACACAGCATAGGTATCCACACTGTGATACAAATGCCCAGAAATGACCAGGCATGGCTGGTGTCTGGTCAGTCATGCTGGCCTGCCCTCCTGGTTCTCTGTCTCCCACTCACCCAAACCCCAAAAGGCCAGCCCACATTTCCAGAGCTACAGTGATGTGCTGTGTTCAGCCAGCATGCCTGACCTGATTACTACGTGCCTGGTGGAGAGGGGACAGTGTGCTGTACCAGGGAGAGATCCCAATGCTCTAGACAGAAGGTCGATGGGAAATCTCTAAGCCAGTTGTCCAGAAAGAGGCCACTGTTTAGAAATTCTGAAGGCCTGGCTGAGCTGGGTCAGTGGAAGCCTCTGGGGAAGGGACACAGCAGGGCCACAGGCCCTGTGTGATATCACTCGTCCTTTTAGTGATCTAAGAAAACCCAAACTATAGACATATTTATCAGCAAATGTTAATTTAAATGTCAAATTCTTTGTGCATTTAAAAATGTGGAGAAAACACTCCAGAGGACAAGGTGGACTGGTCGGACAGGGCCATTAAGGGGTGGTTTCCCTTCTCTGCTACCACAGTTGTCTAAGGAATGCTTATATTACAAGGAAAATAGTTTATACTTTGACAAGTCGAAGGTTTTGCCACCCTCCTGCACCGCCACTGGGTGACTGTGCTACCTCATCAAACAGGGAGAACATGTCGGCCAGCGTGTCCGAGACAGGGACTCCCAGGTATGCTGCAAACTCGGAGACACTCATCTTCCCTCCCCTCTTCATCCGGGCACTTTCCGCATATCTATCCAGATCTTTTTCAAGTTTTTCTGGTTTCAGGCTAAACAAAAAAAGAGGAAAGGATTTTTCTCAATAAAATCTCAGAATGCCAAAAATAGGTTTACTGTTTTATTTTAAGACCCAACAAAATATCAAAATTATTTATAGACTGAGCAGCTGGTTTCCAAGAAGAAGCTGCTAATAATGTGAAGGCAGGTAGCGCGTTGTGTCCAGTGACTGCATGCGCACTTACACCCTCGGCAGGGCGGTCTGTGGGCCAGGACACCCTCCGGGCAGCTCCACACAGAGCAGGCACCCACCACTAGGGGTTTTAGGACACTTGTGTGTGGACTAAAGTTGGTATTTAAAAAAAAGAACCGAACCACCAGAAGAGCACTCCAACCCTCTCCTTGAGTCCCTGTCTCGAGTGACATCAGGTAGCCCTGGGCACGAATGTGACCTCCAGCTTGGTCACCAATGCCTGCAGGGTGGAGGCCCCTGTGAGGTTCTGCCAGAAGTTCCTGGTCCAGCACCACGCTTTTCTCTCACGGTTGCTGAGCACATTGCACCTGCCATTGCACCTGCCTTGTCACCTGCAGCCCCGGTGCTCGTCACAGCACTAGAGGGAGCATCCTTTCTGACCAATTGCTCAAGAGTAAAAACAAACAAACAAACAAGGTACTCACCCCAAGCTCCTCACCAGCCTGGCAAATTCTAGAAGGCAGGTATCTGCAGGGAGACGAAGCTGTCCTTCCGCCAGGGCCAGCTGGCAGTCCTCGAAGGTGTAGTCAGTTACGGACACGCCCAGGGCCCTGAAGCAGAGAGGAGGGCCCCTACCGTGAGCGCCCTGCACAGTGGCCGCCCTGTTCCACAGGGGCTTCCTGTGGTCTCTCCCGAGGCGCTCTGACTGCAGAACCCTGGCAGAGGCAACACGACATGCGCGTCCCACATCCTGCTTTCACCCCGCACCCTCATCACATGGCCATTAGCGCACGAGGGGAGGACTCCGCACGCTGAGATCACACACGGGCAGTGTGTGAAGTCCACCCTTAGTACTAAACATCAATGCCTAATAGCTGACCCCAAATTTCAATTGCTTGGAGCTTAGCGCTGCCTCAAGCTTCGCTGTTAGGCCAGAATTATCTGCGTACAACCCACTAGAAAACAAGCATGCATTTGGGCCTTAAAGATAATGACACCACCCCATGGGGTGTTTTACAGAGAAACTCAATTCTTTACAGATGACCAGGGATTGCTTTTATGAGAGCTGACACTTCTCTGAAGTTGGGGAGAGAGTCAGAACTCACCATTCTCAGAGCTGCATCAGAGTTCATAAAAAATAATCTTTCCTGACTATTAAAGAAAACACTCAAGGTAGGAAATTTACCAAGTATAGAAAACTAAATAGCTCCCCACCATCATAACTGAATGGGCTTTCAATCATTTGGATAAAGTGCCTGTTGCTATGATAATACAGTGTGCAACCATGTGAGAAGGAAACAGTAACTCTTATGTTCTCCTTGGCAAACTCAGGTATAATCCTTTGGGGACAGAAGCCAGAACCATATCAGCAGTGTCTCCCACAGAAAGGCAGGACGAGGCCAGCTCGGGGCTGTCTGCAGAGCCCTTGGGACTCCTGGCCGCTCCCAGGTGCATTTGAAGGTGAGACTAAAGCGAGGGAGGCGGCAACCCACTGAGACTCTCCTGCAGCTGCTGAGGCAAGGGGGTGCTCCATGGGTTATCTGTTCTTTCCCGCTGAATATGTCAGGGACAGTTTCTTTAGAATACATATCTTTAAAACTGTTAATGGTTAATTTATTTCAATGTGTACTAAGAATATTTATATCTAACCTGTTGAGCCTAAAATTCCATGGATGGATATTAAAAAAACTTTTTTTCTTTATTAATTTTAGAAAGAGAGGAAAGGAGAGGGAGAGATAGAAACATCAATGAGAGGGAACATCGACTGGCTGCCTCCTGCATGCCCCACACTGGGGATTCGGCCCACAACCTGGGCATGTGCTGTGACCGGGAATCAAACCGGCGACCTCTTGATGCATGGGTCGACGCTCAACCACTGAGCCATACCAGCCAGGCTGGATATTATTTTTTTTTTATCAAGAGGTTGGGCAAGGGTGTCACTGAGCACCCTGACTCCCCAAAAGTTGAGGATCAAGCATATCTTGTGGCTGGTGTGTGAATCAGAGGGAGAGGGAGAGGAGTTTCAGAGGGTGGGTGCCCAAGGTGAGAGGGAGGAGTGTTTCACCGCACTGTGTCCCTACCGCCCTACTTTCTGAGGAGCCTATGGACAAACACCGCACACCTTGCTGAGTTTTAATTCATGTATGTTGATTTGAGATGCATAATTTTGTTCAATACAGTCTCAAAGAATGCAGTGAAGTGGGGTGCAATGCGTACACTGAAATGTTTTATTTTAGAAGTCTAAGTCACACAGGTCAGCAATAGCAACTGTTAAAACCCCCGATGCAGCCACGTGGACCCCCACCTGAGTGACACTCACTGTCAGAGCCGCTGAGCTGCTGAGCCCCCTCCAGGCACCGAGGTGGCCAAAGTCAGAGGCAGCCCCTGCTGCCCTGGAATAGGAGAGAGGAGGAGAGGGGGAGAGGATGGGACAGGAGGGATGAAGGCGGTTAGAGGGGGACGGTGTGAGCTGACACTACCACTACCTGGAACAAGCTGGAATGGCAGGAAACAGGTGAGCACGTTCCTGAGTGCGGCATTGATGCCACACACGCGGGATGAGTTACTGTACAATTACTACAACGCACTTGGTAAGATGGAGCAGAAACATTAATAATCACTGTATGGGCAGATGGACAGTGAAGATTCCAGGACGCTCCAGCTCAGCCCCTGAAGTCTGCACAGGCCAGCACTCTGGCTGACACCTCTGCTGCCGGTCACCACTGGGGTGCCCACACGTGCAACACCCGGGATGGCTATGGGCACACTCGATATTTGTGAAATTAAGTGATGTTTAAGCATCTTCCAAATGAATAAGTAGAAATGTCATTTGACAAAAACGGGAGACATTCAGTGTATGCCTAATAGGCACAGTGCATGCTTGTTCACTAACTTTTGCAAGAACTCATTTTCCTAATGCTATTGGCTTTCTTGTTTTCAGCAATGTTAGGGAGGAAAACAGCAGGTAAACAAGAGTACTGAGTAATACTTAGGAAGTCAAAGAAATCAGGGAGTCCAAGAGGAGAAAGAGGGCGCACTCACTCGGCCATGACGCTTCGCACATTGCGGGCATACAGGGCCGGGTCCTTCTTCTCCTCCTCCGAAGGGCTGTACACTGGAAGGAACTGAGCACAGAGATGGCTGCATTACCTCCGTGGTATCGCAAGACACCCACCTCACCAATGCCAGCGTGAGCAACAGTAGTGAGTCGGACAAAATTAAGACCTGTCAAAGCACTTCCATTAGAATCATCTTCGAAGTGGTCACACATGCACACATGCATGTACCCATGTGCACACACATGAACATGTGTGTGTGAATACTCACAACTCACCATTCCTAACTAGGAGTACCCACTCCCCTGACATTGAACCTGTGGCCAGTGTACTATACTTGTGATTTCACACAGGGGTTTAGTCTTTAGATGTGAAAGAATTACATGTGTGCTTTCATTTCTAAAGATCTCAGTTTTGTGTTGGGGATAATAAGACAAGCTATTTTTATGTAAAAGATAATTATTAGCTTTTTGATATCTGCATTTTGAGATTATAATGAGGCATCCCATGAACATGTGTCCTTGAGTGAGCAACACTGACATAGCATTTTAAATATCTTACCATGCAGAAAAGGCCAATAACCGCCACCGAGCCCCTTTTCTTTAATATGAATATTTAAGAATCCAGGAATATCCTGAAATCCTATCAACTCTCATCATATAACTAACCTTTTGCTTACAGCTACATTGAAAAGAATCACATAAATTGCAATAGTTCCTCACATAAGCATTGGCGTCTTGGAGGAGCAACACCAGGAAATATATTTAGAGGGATTTCACAAGCCACGCAGCTTCTTTTCAAGGCTTACAATTACAAGCCAGGTCTGAAATAGAGCTGTTTCCACCGGGAGGCCCAGAACAGCCCCAGCTTGTCTTCCTCAGAGCCTGGCTCCACTGTGCTCTTGGTCACCAGCAGGCGAACCACATAAAATGTCTTAAGCAGCAGGCCTGCTACCCTTGGACCTGGGTCAAGGCCCTTTCAGCTCAGTCCTGAGTATTAAGTGGCTTACATCCTACTGAAGTGAAAAACTTGGCAGAAAGCTGCTCATTTGTAGTCAGCATTACTCTGCAAAATTTATCAGAAGGTAGTACATTATTTCATTAAACACTTAAGTTATTTATGACTCATCTTTAATTTCTAGGTGCAGGAGTAGGCTAATTCCCTTAAGAAAATAGACTAGTTCTCATCCACTCAGATAAAATTTACAAGCTGAACAAATATACCTGTATTTAGTTTAGCTGAGAGAATGGATGTTGTGACTTTGTCTGAGACATCCAATGGGATGCAAACTGAAAGGCAGGCTACATGATCTGACCAAGTATTAACGAGAGCATGATAGTATGACAAATTTAGTAGTATGAATTTAGCAGTATTAGTATGAGGTAAAAATAAAGGCTGATAAATTATTTATTGCATATGTGTCAATTTTATATGCCCTTAAGCTGTGCTAAACATAACAAAAGAATGACAGGTTTAGCTTCCTTGTTGATTTAAGAAATTCATATTTGAATAGATTCAAAATCATCTAGAGACACAAAGTGATTGATGCAAAATTATTGGGAAGTGCCTCTAACGAGTCATGAGAAATGGCAAGAGTTCAAAGAGACAGATGACATAACATTGTATTTATAGAGATAGCAATGTAACATTGTATCTATATAAACCCCAACACAACAGTGTCTAACATTGTATCTATATAGATACCAATATAACATTGTATCTATACAGACAACATAACATTGTATAACATTAATTTGTATAGACACTAAGATAATATTGTATCTATTAAAGACCTTGACACAATGTATTTATAACACCAACATAACATTTTATAACACTATATCTATACAGACCTCAATTTCAACTTGATTGTGAAACTGACAGAGGGTAAGCCACAGGATTTCCAATCTTAAAAACAAATAGATTTATAGCATTGGTTAAAAAGATTCCATTTAGTTAAATTATATCCATTTCTGGAGCAAAATCTTCAAACCCCTTGCCCTGCAGAGGGCAGTACTGGGCAGTTAATTCTCTTTTAGGAGAGGGATGCTGAGCCTTCCTCAGCCCAAATCTGAACCTTAAAATACAGCAGTGAGAGAAAAGGCTACTTTTATTAAATAGCAGTCTTTGTTGTTCTTATTAAATATGTCCATATATGCAGCTTTAGTTTGGTCTGCAAGCCACTGTTTCCCAAGTTGGACTTCCAGTTCAGAAAACCCTGTCTACCTGTTCTCACCCTGGTCATCCCATGGCAGCGCAGACTGGACAGGCCCTAGGTCATGCCATCCCAAAGCTGGGCTCCAGAGTTCCTGACCTCAGAATGAGCATTACCACGCTTTTGTTTGCAGGAGTTGGAATTCCCTGTCCCTGGGCCTTCACTCACTACCCCCTTGATACATAGTCCCTCTCTTAACTATTATGCAGCCCACTTTGCCTCATCACTGACAGCCTCAAGCTCAGGCCACCAGGACCACCAAGGAGCCCCTTCCAGCTCTTCTCCTAGCTTTTACCTTGCTTCTCACCTCCCCAATCCCCAAACTCCAGCCTCGGAAACACAAAGACTACCATTTGGACACACCATTCCTTATGGCACCTCCCCAGTGTTTCATTCCAAACACCTTGGCAAGTCCTGGGAGCCCTGGGAGGGTTCTTGTCTGGCCTCAGCACCCACCCTTCCATTTCCGAACACCAGCTCAAATGGCAACACCCTGGAGGCCCAACCTGCCTGCGTCCCATGTGCCTGCCTGCCCCTCGCCCCCATGGCGGAGCAAGAGGGCAGCCCCCTGGAGGTCTGCTGCTTTTTCCAGGGACAGGATGGTACTCAGCTGCCAGATACAAGGCAGGAAGAGAAGAGTTCTCACAATTATCTTCCCAATGGGGCTGAAAACAATGAACTTAAATCCAGGAACCCAGGGTGTGAGGACAGGCCAGATTTTTACATTTAGTTTTCACAATGCACTGTATTTAACTGCTGTCAAACAGCAGTGGGTCATGTGTTCAGGTTTCATATTTGCGAAAGTGACTAGAGCACTTTCTCAGGAAGACAGGACAAATGAGATCGCACAATTCTGACTTACGCTCCGGGGCCTTGCCAGGTCCACGTGATGGTGTCCTGGGGGCAAGAAATGAATAGATGAAGCACGACTGGAAGTCAGGCACCAGAAATTCCTGCGGATGCCACATGGGCTCCTCCCTCTGCAGGCATGCCCGCCCTCGTCCCTGCCCTTCTCCCAGCTTCCTCTGACCCCAGAGACGCTGGTTTCCCCATCCTCCTAAGTCCACTCTAGGGCAGAGGAGAAGGTGGGTGCTCACGGCTTTTGGGTCCCCAGACCTCCCCTAAGACACACTCATCTCTCTTCCCACTGCTCCAAGGTCGCCACTTCCAACCTCCACCTATAACCCAGCCCAGCTGCTTGTCCTGCGCTTCCCCACTCAACGTATCCCTGGAAACTTCATCTACAGTGAGGAGCCACTTTGTTTGTCTGCTCCCTCAGACTTGCTCATGAGGGCCTGTAACACCTGCCTGCCTGCTACTGTTACCAGCTGAATTACAATGCCACACCCACCTGTACCCACTCCAGCGGGTCGGCCCCAGGCTTGGGGAGGGGTGGAACAAGCCACTGCAGAGCTGTGTCTCCCACACCCCCGTGTGAGCCCAGGGTCTCCTGGGGCATTTCAGACCCTCTTCATCCTCAACCTCAGCAACCACACCAGCCACCCAGGTGGGGACATTAGACATGTGCCTGTTTCTACCCTGACAAAGGTCAAAGGATAAAGGTCACTAATGCAGTCTTTTTCCTTCTGTAGTCCTGACACCTTCTGTTCTCATAGGCTCCTGAAAACCCACAGGACCGGGCTCCCCGTCACCCACGCAGCCCGTGTGCACAGGCCTGTGCTCCCACCTGCCAGCAGTGGGGCTGCTCCTGCAGTTGCGCAGCTGAGCACATGGCACAGGCCCCCAGAGCAGGTGCTCTGCTCCTCTGACACCTGGGTTGAATAAGTCTAGGACCCAGTAAGGAACCTTGCTTAAAATACATTCATGGGACAAACTTAAAAAATCTAGAATTCTATGCACCGATGACAGATTCTCTTATTCTCAGAGACTGGCGAAAAAAACACCTCTTCAGCTTCAGCTGTGCCATGAGAATACTTCTACTTTCAGTCTGCGTGGCAACCGGTTCTGACCAACATTTATTTACTGGCCACACCTGCGGGCACAGGGTCCAGTACGCCAACCCGGATCCTACGGGCTGGCCTGGAGCAGGCGGCAGAAGCCTCCCATGCCCACAGATACCATGTGTCTCTGCCACCATCTACACCAGGAGCTCCAGAGCCCGGTGTCCTGACCTGCGGGACTCTTCCTTTGCTGTCATAAAGACACTGCAACGGAGAGAAGGCTCCGCGTCATGAGAAGCTCCGCCTCAGTCCTCCATAAAGAACCACTCCCGTGCGTCCAGTGCCTAGGCAGGGCTTGGGACACAGTGTGTGTGGACCTTTCTCAGCTGCAAGAGCCCTTCCGCCCATCAGGAGAGAGGACGCCCACTCAGACAGGGTCACGGGAGAAAGGGAATGCAGCGAGCGTGGACAGCGTTCCCAGAGCACCTGTGAGCAAGGGACAGCCATGGCTGTTTCACAGATGTGGACACGGAGGCCTGTGGGGCCCGGCTGTAACCTGCTCTGAGGCCTCGTCCAAGTTCTGCCTCCGAGCTGGGGGTCCGATAAGATCATCCAGGAGTTCTAAGCCCAAACCACCTCTTCTGTTATTTTGTTCTCTTAGAACAAACAAAACCTCTCCACCCAACAGAGACAGGATGCAGGCACACGAGTCACAAAATCACCTACTCCTTTCTCTCCTGCTGCCTCCAGCCTTTCAGAACTGAAATATTCTTCATTAAAATTTTCCTGGAGTGTGAACTAGGCAGTGAGAGCTGCTGAGGATACTGGGGGGGGGGGGGGGGGGGGTTCACGTGAAAATGTCAGGATTGATCTCTCGAGAGGAGGACACCACTTCCTGATCTATGAAGGCAGGACTCTGTGCGTGAGTACGGGGGACACTCTGGAACACCAGGGCCAACTGGAAACCTGGTGTGTTCCGGCACCTCGCGGTTCTCTCCCAGGCCATTCGCCTGAACACAGATCCCCAGAGCACACTCACCAGTTTATTCGGGTACCGCAGGACCACAGGCTGGACAGGAACCCCCGGGATGAAGGCGCCTGCGGGAGAAAGGGACAGGAACGTCTGACCGCCACGGCAGCGGTCCTGCACCTGCGTGGCTCGCGGCAGCGAGCAGGGCCCGGGCGGTGCTTCCCACTCCTGTGCTGGTGGGAAATGCCAGAGATCCCAGGGTCACAACCCTGCTGGCAGGAAACAGACAGGAGCGCCTCCAGGCCGAGCTGCACTTTGGTGGGACAACTGGGAGCCCTGGTGGGAGTGAGGGTCTCCCCAACTTTCTCAAGGAAAAAAAAATAATTAAGAAAACTACATACCAGGTTTGAAGGTAATTAGGCAGGTCCTGTTGGTACAAGTTCCTTCTGGAAAAATCATTATCTTGAAATAAAAGAAAGAAAAAAGAGTTCAGCAATAAAGGGGCATAATTCAGAGTTCACAGGTGCCAATTTTCACAATCTCTGTCTCTACTGCTGACATAATTTAGATACTTTAATCATCTTCAGTTGAACAAGCTGAAATGTACTGTGGATGCTTATGCTGATTTCTTCTCTAACTACGGGATTTATTAAAATCTGGAAGCAATGCAAAGAGACAACAGCTCGTGCCTTCTTAGACGCAGGACTTGCAGATGGCTATCCGTGGTCCCCGCCTCCCAGCTGCCACAGGACCAGATACAACTATACAGAGAGGGCTGTTAGCTGGGCGCAGGCATCCCACAGGCAGAGCAGGCATGGGCGCACAGTTGAGAGCCTGCCACTGAAGGACTTGGGATGGCCCTGGGGGGAGGGGGTGTGCTGGCCCAGCAAGTAGAACCACCAGCAGAATTCAGAGTTAAGCTACACCTTCCCCACTGGACTTCCCATCACTGATTTGTACTGACTTACGGCAACGTAACGTAAATTTTCCCGACTGCTGAAAAATACAGCCCATGTGGGTGTTTTCAATTCTGGTCCCTGAAGGGAAGACCATCTCCAGGTGGCACTGAGCCAGCATTGGGTCCAACCATGGCATGCCCAAGGGCCAGGCAGGTAAGCTGAAGGAGGAGCAGGAATGACCTGTACATATAGGGGTAGCAGGCAGGAAACTGCTCCAAGTGGCTGCCCATGGGCATAGGTGCCAAGAGCCAGGCCCCCTAATGTTTCCTAAGCAGCCAGAAACCAGAACCCAGCTTCTCAATATCAGCTCAGTTGAAAAGAAGAAAAATACAGCGTGGGTCAAACACATCCACGGCTGATACCAGCCGAGGCCAACACCTCATGGCTTAGGTAACCAGATGCGTGACAGGAGGCTCAGCCCAGGACACCCAGAAGTAGTGGACACCTCCCTGACAAACACACTATTCAGATACGAGATGGTGCTGACCCCGGTGGACTTAGCAGCTTTTTCCAACTCAGAACTTATTATAAAAAGATTTGTGGTCAATAAAAATGACTAGGGGAAATTGAGATGCAACTCTGAATGGTTTCTCCTTATTTCTTTTAATTTTAAAATTCCAGAACCAAAAGTACCTGATATTTAGCAGATTCTTAGATTTGCACCCTCACTGAAAATAAAGGAAACTAAACACATCCAGCCCCCCAGGGAAGGCAAATTCTGGCCCTTTGGCTTTGTTTCTTCTCCCCTTACCTCCCCGATGTGCAAGCTCACATCCTTTTTTTGGTTAATCCTCACCCTAGGGTATTTTTCCATTGATTTTTAGACAGAGTGGAAGGAAAGGAGGGGGAGAGAGAGTGAAACATCAATCTGAGAGAGATACATAGATCGGCTGCCTCCCACACGACCCTGACTGGGGCCAGGGATTGAACCTGCAACCCAGGTATGTGCCTTTGCCCAGGAATTGAACCTATGACCCTTTGGTGTGTGGTCCGACGCCCTAACTACTGAGCCAAGCCTGCTAAGGCTAAGTTCACATCTTTTGGAATAAGTCCACTCAAAATGCAAGCAGGGCTGCATTACCTGCGGCCACTTGCCGTTTGACTGCACCCGTCTCTTGATCTCTTCCACGGTCTTCCTTCGGGAATCCTGGTCTGACCGGGACACGAAGACTGGCCGTATGTACTTTATCAGAGCTGAAAGAGAAGGTGAAAGGTGTGGGGATGCACTGCTTCTGCCCCAGCAGGACTGGGTGAGAGGAAAGACCCCTAGATATTTCAAGGTCTGTGCCACAGGGTGGGCGGGCAGGAGTCAATGCCTGACCGCAAGGGAATCAGGAAAACCCCAAAGCTTCCGGTGAACTTAGCAGCATGAAGCCTTACAGCATGCAAGGCCCAAAGTCACAACACTCAGTATCCACAGGAGAGCGATCAGGGAAAGAATGGGACAAGGCTGACCCGCCAGGGAGCAGAGAGCTTCTGTCACCATGTAAATAAAGGAGGGTGTGGGGGCTGTAGGCTCAGTCAGTGGGCCCAGGGCACTTGGCTACTGTTGTGGGTCGAACTGTGTCCCTCAAAAAGACAGGCTGATGTCCTAACCCCAAACACCTGTGACTGTGACCTTATTTGGAAATAAGGTATCTGCAGATGTACTCAGGTAATGGGAGGCAGTCTGGATTGAAGCAGGCCCTCTTCAGTGACTGGGGTTTTCATAAGGGAGAACAGACACAGACAGAGGAGAGGGAGAGAACAGCATGTGGTGACGGAGGCAAAGATGGGAGTGCTGTGGCCACACCCAAGAGACCCCAGGACTGCCGGGAGTCACTAGAAGCCAGAGAGAGGCCTGGGATGGGTTCTCCCTCAGAACTAGCCCTGCCAACACTTTGACATTGGACTTTTGGCCCCAGAACTGGGAGAGAATAAACTTCTGTTGTTTAAGCCAGTTTGTGGTTCTTTGTCAAGGCAGCCCTGGGACACTCATCCTGACCTGCAGGTCAGGGCTCCCTTGACCAAAGTTGACATCAGTCTTCTTGCAAGAGGATTTAAAGGTGGGAAGATACTTCTTAGAAGAGAAAACTTGGAATAAACTTTAAAGTACAACTATTGCCCTGGCCACTTTGGCTCAGCAGTTAGTGTCATGGGTTCAATTCCCGGCTCATGCCAGGGTCGTGCAGGAGACAACCAATTGATGTGTCTCTCTCACATCAATGTTTCTCTCCCTCTCTCTCTCTCTCTCTCTCTCTCTCTCTCTCTCTCTCTCTCTCTCCTTCCCTCCCTTCCACTCTATCTGAAAAACTCAATGGGAAAATATCCCTGGGGGAGGATTAAGAAAAAACAACAACAACAATCCTCTGCAATGGCTGGTGTGGCTCAATGCTTAGAGTGTCGTCCCATGGACTAAAGGGTTGCAGGGCTCGACCTGGGTTGCAGGTTTGATCCCCAGCCCTGGACAGGGCGCATGTGGGAAGCAACCGATTGATGTCTGTTTCTCACATCACCGTTTTTCTCTCCCCCCCCCTCGTCTCCCCTTCCACTCTCTAATAATCAATGAAAAAAATATCCTCGAGCGAGGATTAACAACAACAACAACAACAAAGTACAACTATCTTCAGCAACAGCTTTTGTTCTTGAGAAATGAATGTGAGCTGGAGGCCAAGGCAGCCGGAAACCCTCGGGGTGGGTGAGGCCGGGTCACCCCTGCTCTGCCCCAGAGTCCCGCTGAACCCAAGATTAGCTTCCAGCTCCTCTTCTGAGTGTTTTCATTTCTTGCAAGGAATAGTATTATGTGACTTCTCAGAGGTCTCCCAAAGAACAATTAAAAAATTTATTTTAAAAAAAAGAGTAAAATTCTGTTTGGTTGGGTCCCCGGGGCTTATAACATCTAAGACATATGAATCTTAGTGGTGCTCTTTTCCCTATGTCTTGAACATTTTGCTTTTTCACCATTCTATGAACTATTTCCTTCTTTTTTGCCAATTATTCCTGACTCTGCTAAAACAATAAGAAAGGGAGGGATGATGAAACTGCTTTCTGCATCCCCCAAGGTCCTCTCCAGAGGCCTGTGCTGGCATCCTGAACTCAGATGTCCACCCTCCAGAACTGTGAGAAATGAATGTCTGTTGTTTAAGTCACCCTGTTGTGGCACTTCGTGACAGTAGACCCTGTTGTGGCACTTCGTGACAGTAGCCTGGAGAGGTGCCACCCAATCCACATTCAATCAAATCAACATTGGTTGCACCCATTTTGAGAACAGCAACATGCATTAGACCTTCTCTCAAAATGTCTTGAGCTGGAGGCCAAGGCAGCCGGTAACCGTCGGGGTGGGTGAGGCCGTGTCACCCCTGCTCTGCCCCACAGTCCCTGCTGAGCCCAAGATTAGCTGAACCCAAAATGAAATCTACACAACATTCTCTAATATAACTGTCAAATAAGCACTAATGTTGTTAGGTGCTACATGGAAACTCAGAGAAGGCGATGACACGGAGACCCGAGGCCAGCAGACGTCTCTGTTCCCGTGGCCCTCGCCCCAGCATTGCCTGCCTCTGCCTAGACCAGCCCTGCTCCAGAATCCATGGGAAGTTTAAAAAGCAGAGAGGCTGGTGGGCGAGGAGGCAAGTTATCTAATGATACGTGTCTTTATAAAAGACACAGACACAGACAGAAGCAGAGGCCACAGGATGATGCAGAAAGATGCTGGAGTGACTTGGCCACATGCCCAGGGATGCTTGGGGCATCAGGAGCTTGGAGAGGCAGGAAACGCCTCTCCCACTGGACTCCCGTAGGGAGCTCAGTCCTGAGACAACGTGATGAGGGTCTGCTGGATCCAGAACAAGAGAGTACACGTTTCTGTTGTTTTAAGCCACCAGCAATCTGTCAGGCATCTAAGGACACTAATACCGGGGTTTATGGGACAATAATTAGTGTGCCAGGATGGAGCTACTGAACTGTTCCTAGACTTCTAGGATCCTCTGTGATAAAACTTGAAGAAGTACTTCAACAAGTTATAATATTTGAGGGCACTAGTGTACTAATAAAAAATAAAAACCACAATTACTATTACAGAGGAAATCACAACAAAGGGAAACAACAGGGACGCTGGGCCCAGCGCCTATTTCCTGTGGGCATGGCCTGCTCCGACCGACAGGTGGGCTCCCTCACTCCTGTGGGCGAGGGGGGTCTCACTCACTTCCCCATATCGGGATGTTTCTGCTCTCTGCCTTCATCACGATGGAGGACATGGTCATGGTGACGGGGATGGCATCGAAGTAGGAGGAGTGTGGGGCGAGGGTGAAGATGGCCGCCTCCGTGGGCAGGGCCTGCCGCCCCTTCACGGCCACCCGGTGGAAGCCGCCAATGAACCACATGGTACGCATGATGGCGACGAGCAGGAAGTCCACGACCCTGCAAAAGAAGGTGCAAGTCAGATGAGGCCAAGCGGCGGCTCCCAGCCCCGCCCATCTCATTAGGTGCACACCAGTCACAGAGCGTCACACGGGGACCAGCACCACGGTGTGAGTGCTGACCTCGCTCAGTCATCCAGGGCCAACTCGCTCTTGCCACAGCTGTTACTGAACCGTCCCAAAGGGGTAAAAAAAGGCGCTGTTCTATTTAAATGTGCAGTGGGATTTTTTTTTTTTAAATTCATTTATCAAGAAAATAACGTGTTCTGCTACATTACTCAGCAGCTTTAAGACAACACAACTCCGAAATATAACAGAGCAGAGCACAGGGGCCAACATTAAAGACACCAATACCATGAATGTTGGAGAGATTTATTGGCATTCTAAATATATACATTTTAAATGATAAAACATCAGAACACCTAACATACACATTAAACGGAGGGAAACCCAGAGCCGAGATGAGAGCAGAGACCTGCCATGGAAACTCCCCAGTCTCACCTCCCACAGGTTGTCTGGGGTCCCTGGCATCAGAGGTCATACTGATAAAATAAGCCCTTTCTGGATGTAATTAGATAAATAACAACTTTGGAAAGATAAAGTAAAATTCAGCCTAGGTCAACTAATTTGTTTCCTATTTATTTTTCTTTAATATGAGAATTTAGGCATTTAAATTCGTACATTCCTTTTTGTGGTAACCTCTGACCGTGACAAATGAGATCACTATTCAGTATGTCATTGAAACCACATGTGGGCAAATGGCCTGGCACGTGGGTCACCCAGACACACATGTGCCAGCCCACAGGAAGGAGTCACCTTTATAAAGAGCTATGTCTCACTTGACGGTTGGCTGACCTGAGTGATCAAACAGGGTAAAGTCACTGCAGAAACACAACAGCCTCAAACCTCCCTGGCCTGACCTCCCAAAGGGCTTGAAAACCCTAAAGAAGATTCCAGAGGATGAGGCCTGACTGATGGGAGCCGCCAGAAATCCGTTTGCCTGGAGGTAAACGGGACTGTGAGCTGCACACTGAGAGGCAGGGACTGAGCACAGCTCTGCTGCTGGAGCTGGTGTGATCCGCACGTTCGCACTTCCGTTATTCGTCCATCTGCATGTTTTATTTATTTGTTATTTAAAAATAGGGTTTTATTGGTTTTAGAGAGGAAGGGAGAGAGAGAAAACATTGACGAGAGAGAGAAACATCAATTGGTTGCCTCCTGCGTGCCCCCTACTGGGGACTGAGCCCTCAACCTGCACACGTGCCCTGACCAGGAATTGAGCTGCAACCGCTCAGTGCATGAACAATGCTCAACCAACTGAGCCACAGCGGCCAGGGTTCAGCTGCCCATTTTAAATACACATTACTGTTCACGATAACAATGTGTATAGAAATGAAAGTAGATGCCCACAGATACACAAGGAGGAAGAAACGAGGCTGTGAGAAGGAAGAAATGGGGCTGTGGGAGAAGCTGAAGTGGGAACAGGAACTATCCTGAAGGCGAGTTCAGAGGCAGGAGAGGAGAGTGATCAGCCTGGCTGGTAAGGCTCAGCGGTTGAGCCTGGACCCATGCTCCAAGAGGTCGCCGGTTTGATTCCCGGTCAGGGCACATGCCCAGGTTGTGAGCACGATCCCCAGTGGGGGGCATGCAGGAGGCGGCCAATCAATGTTCTCTCTCATCCATGTTTCTCTCTCTCTCGCCTTGTCCCTTCCTCTCTAAAACTCAATAAAGAAAAAAAACAAAGTGGAGATCAAATCTTAGTCTTTGTATTAGAGACACACCTACCACCTCAGATCAAAGCTCAAACATCAGTCAACAGAAATATATTGGGGGCGGGGGTACTAACAATTCTCCGAAGGTCTTGACGGAATTCTATCCCCACTCAAACTGCAGAAAGGCTGCACGGATGCTGGCCTCAGAGCACAGCCTGCTCGCTGCCCAGTGCTGGGGCGCAGGGCCACTCACCCCAAGGTCCAGGCAGCAGTGACAGGCCCGAGGTGCCCTGAGATTTTCCAGGGGGATGTGAACTGGGACACAGATCTACCTATACGAGGTGGGGACCTCCACCCTCCGCCCATCACACAGTGGGCACCTCAGAGTCTGAGATATGTGGGCAGAACCAGCCACATAACGGAACAGACTGTGACCTGAGGAGATCCACAGTGCAAGCGCAGAAAGGGGGGTGGTTAAAAACCTACATCGTCATCAGTATTGTTGCAGAAAATCAAGAACAAGGCCCTCTGAAAAGTTCAGGGAACAAGAAAACACGCTTGGAGATCAATGATCTCACTGCAGAAATAATCAAGTCATGAGAAAGTCTGGAAAATGAGGAGCAGGGACTCTCCCAGAACATGCAGAAAAATAAGGGGGCGGGGGGATGACAGACCATAGGGCATGAGGAAAAGAGTTTTTCAGAGCTGAATAAAGACATACATCTTCACACCCTATCAGGGTGCTGAGCAGAATAAATTTTTTATAAAGTCTCATACTTAGAAATTTCCTTCAAGATTTTTTTAAATGACCAAGGACAAAAAGAAGACTTGAAGCCCTCCCGGCGAGGAACAGACAGGTTATTCCAGCATCATTGTTGAAGGTGGCACATCTTCAAAGCTCTGAGGACGTAAGATTCAGAACCTTTAATTCTATTCCCAAACTACCCATCAGTTGTGCAGGGAGAACAAAGACATTTTCAGACTCAAAACATGCCCAAGTTCCTCTCGTACGTCCTTTTTCTAAGGAAAGAGCCTGACACTCCAGGAAATTGTGGGAAAAAAAACAAAGCAAACAAACAGAAACAGGCCCAGGAAATAGTAGATGGTACCCAAGAGGGCAGCAGACAGGAGCAGAGCAACGCCACACTAGGAAGAGCATATGGTCCCAGAGGCAGCAGTGACCATGAGGTGGAGAATTCCAGGGCTATGCTCAGGGTTCACTACGCTTTTGAAAGAGGCAAAACAAAAAATCAAAATTCTGTAAAACAGAAAAAAATACAAGGAAATGAAGTTCAAACAAAGCCAGCTAACGGGCACATAACTGAGAATCAGTGGTGTAAGGAAAGAACATCTAGGACAAGGACCGTGATGGGAGCGTGTTCTAATCTAATCCCCCACAAGGTGGTGCTGCAGTGTGTGAACATGTGCAAACGTACTGAGCTGTCTCTCACCAAGTAGTTGGGGGTCTGTCCTAAACAGACCATGTAACAGCTCTTTCCTTAGGGTCATGGAGCCCACTGGAGACAAACTATCAACATACACAGACAGCAAACATTGCCAAGCGGGACTCGGAAGGGCGGGCTGCAGACTTGCCTTCTACCGCCCACTCTCCTTCACTACTCTGCTCCCTCCACGCATGCAATATCTACTGTGCACCCACCCTCTGCCAGGTATGAGGACACATCAGGGAACCTGGACAGAAACCCCTGCCCACCTGCAGTTCACTCTCTAGAGTGAGAAATGAGTTTGTTTTTTTAAATTAGTGAATTATGGAGTAAATCAGAAAGAGGTATTATCATCCATGAAATAAAAATAAAAGAAAAGCAAAGTCAGGAGGTCAGGAACAGCACAGGCATGACAGTAATGAGCTAACCCTGAGCATATCTGGGTGAAGCACACTGATGGGAGGACAGCTTGTGCGAAGGTCCTGGGGCAGGACTATGCTCTAGTTATGAAGACAGGAGGCCCATGTGGCTGGAGGGAGGAGAAGGAAGATGGTGGGAGAAATGGCAGATCATGAGGGCCTTGCAGGCACTGACAGGAAGAGTGTTTTACTCTTGGGTACCTGGATACAGAGCTCCTGCAGGGCTGAGGCAGAGGAGAGCCATGCTCTGACTTCCATTTGCAGAGGACCCTTGACTGTTGTGTTGAGACAGAGAAGCAGGAGAGGTCAGGCTCCAGTCTTCAGTGCACACATGGCACCAGTTGTCGTCATGAAGATGGACTTCTCAGATATGAGAAGGGGCGCTCAGGACTGAATCATGTCCCCCAAATTCCGATGTTGAAGCCCTAACCCCCAATATGACCGTATTTTAAAATAAGGTTAAATGAGGTCATAGGGTAGGGCTCTACAAAAGGAATAGTGTCCTTATAAGAAGAGGAAGAGAGACCAGAGCTCTCTGGCCTGTGAGGACCCAGTGAGAAGGAGGCATCTGCAGCCAGGAAGAGAGAGACCCTTACCAGGAACCCAACCATGCCAGAACCATGCTCCCAGACTTCCAGACTCCACACGAATGTCTGTTGTTCAAGTACTTGGTCAGGCAGCCTCAGAGGACTAAGACACCCTCTTTCTACCCCACGATTCGGGAGGGTCAGCACCAAGATCAACCACCACCGTGGGCCCGCCTGGCCTGGTTCAGGTGTTGGCCTACTATTTAGGTTTTGCAAGAAGACACTACAGCTTCTACAACACTGTGTGTTATGAAAATAACTTAAAGTGCCTTTTGCAAAAAGTGTCTTTCCTTTCATTAAAAAACCTGTTATTTTAGGAACTTTTGAATGACACTAACTTACATTCAGCAAAAATACTGCCTAATCTAGTATCAGTCTACTCAGAACTGAACAGCTGTGCACAGCATGAAAGGACCCACCCCCCTGCCAACTGCATGATGGTGCTCCCCTCTGTGCACAAGGGCAGGAGTGCAAATGCTCTGAACCCATATTTCAAAATCTGCTTCCTTTGACTCCCTGGGTCCCAACTCGGGCACAGTCACTGTGTTGTCCTCTGAAAAGACAGTGTTTGTTCTCCTGTTTTGTTCTTCCTCGAGCACCATCCCTAGCCCAGGGCCCAGCATTAGTGAATCCCCATAATAACTGCTGCATGGAGATCCCAAGGGCTGGGCCACAGGAATTCAACATGGGGCAACGTGTGCAGCTTGAGTACATGTACATACATGCATGTTCATATACCCCTGCAAACACATGCACACACACTGACTTGCATATATACATGTATACACACACATGCAGACCACACACACAAAGAATGACACACAGTCTCTGTGCACCTGGATACCCAGAGCTGCCGTGAAACTGAAGACGCCTTGCGTCTCCCTGCGTGGGGCTCTCCACATGTACAGGATGTACACATGAAGCATCTGTGAGGCAGGGCTGTGGGAACTATCTGCTGAGGCCAATATATCACCCGGTGAGGCCAAGTGAATTATTCACAGACAAGAAAGGCCGCCTGGAGTTAGCTTGAGGAATGGAAACCAGCCCAGAGTCATCTATTTTGAACAGATAGAATCTGCAGCTGGGTGGGAGGCAGAGGGAGCTCTTCCTAAGAACAGAGCAGGAGAAATAGGAATTCACACAAAAATTGCTGGGAGGTGTCATTTTCCTACTATTACTAAAATTCCAAACTTTTAATCAAATCACTTGTAATTTGTCAAAAACTACAAAATCTCTGCTTTCTACGTATGGGTTCACAACCACCCAAAGCAGAAATTCTGACCACTATTTGGTCTGGATTTATTTTGCTTGATTATGTACTTGATATTAAATTCATATTTTACAGTCATAACATTAAAAAACAACATTTGCATAAAAGGGATCTTCAAATAGAACAAATAGAAATTAAAAATCCAAAAAGGTGGCCTGGCTGGCGTGGCTCAGTGGATTAGGCATTGTCCCATGGATTAAGAGGTCCTGGTTCTATTCCCTGTCAGGCCATGCCTGGGTTGCGGGCCCAATCCCCAGTAGGGGGCCTGTGGGAGGCAGCCGATTGATGTAGCTCTCTCACATTGATGTTTTTTTAAAAAAATGCAAACGGTGCAATGAAGAACCACAGCCAGTGCTGCCCCAGTGCCCCCAGGGACCACAGTGGACACCAGGCCCAGTAGTACTGGTTCATTTGTTCATTCTTTCCTTCTCTCGCTCATTCATTCAGTTACTCACTCACTCTTCGCACTCATTCACTGGGGAACTACTATCCAGCCAGAGCCTGCCTTCCAATCTCCTAGGGAGGAAGAGAGACTGTGGTCCACTTGGAACGAAGAACAGTCTAAGAACATAAAACACCGTGAGGGGCGCATGAGGCCCCGTGTGAAGGGTCCCCTGGACACCTGGACTATCCACGAGCCTGGTCATAGCTCAGCAAACCCTTGAACCTTTGCCCTGCATGTAACTGCTGTGTGTAATTAGGGCACGTGGATGTCAGGAGAACCTACACTCAGGACAGGCCAGTTCCCACCCCCTCCACGGGCACCGTGTACCTGTGGCTCAGACACCTCCCAGAGAAAGGAGGAGGACTGAGCTAATGCCTTCAACCTATAGGCTAGGTAGCAAATATGTTAGGCTTCGTGGGCCATGTGGGGCCACAACTACTCAGCTCTCCGTGAGCACAGTCTGGACAATGTATAAGTGAGTGGGTGTGGCTGGGTTCTAATAAAATTTTGTTTACAAAAAATGGGCAGAAGTCAGATTCGGCCTGTGGGCCCTTTGGCCAACCCCCCAACCTAAACTAATAATGTTTCTATTTCTGAATAAACCATTCAAAGACCCTTATGACTGACTGAAGATGCTAAGACATAGGTTGTAAGCACCTGGGTTCTCAACAGAAATGATATCTTTTAAGACACTGAAAGTACTTACCAAAATCCTTACACTATCCTGACATTTTCATTACTAATGGCATTTACCGTGAGTTCAAGAACAGCTTTAGGCATTTAAATAAACAAGAAAACAGTGATTGATTTAACTCTTTGAGGTCCACGTTGTGTCCTTAGCTGAGATGTGTTCACATGTCCATCTACAGAGCACTGTGGCTTATGACGTTAGTGTATAAAAGCAAGGAAACATTTAGTCTGTAAGGCAAGGAGGGACACTTGGCCCTGCCGAAACCAGATCAGGGGCAGCAGGTAGGACACATGTCAGCTGGCACACAGAGGCCTGGGGGACATGGAAACAGGGACAGGGAGCTCTGTGCTCAGGACATGTGCAAAGGACCCTAGCTAGAAGCCGAAGACTGTGGCAGGGAGGAAACTGGCCACCCTCAAAGGAGGCAGCATGGGGCCACGATGTCCCTGGCCTGGAGAACACAGCCCCGGTGAGCACTGGCCCGGGAAGGGGAGGGTGGACCTGTCTGCACTGGGTGACCAGGAGAGGCTGTGAGAATGAAGAAACGGCCCCGTGACTCCCCACATCAGAGCATCACAGACGAGGACTTACTTCCGCCACAAGGCCAGGGGCTGTTCTGGGTCCCTCTCAGCAGGTCCCAGGGAAGCAGCGAGTGCGAAGGGCCAGGCGAGCAGCATCATGAAGGCAGCAAGCAACAGCCGGACGGGAAAGAGCGTCAGTGTCATGACCGCAATCTGGGGAGACAGACTGAGTTTACTCTGGAAGCACTGTCACAGGGAATCTCTCCTCTGAAATCTTTTGCAGAAGCTGCCCAGGAGCCCGATCTGGGCCCGCCCTGGCCAGGGTGCTGTGGTCTCACAAACAGCTGGGCGGGGTGAGCAGCAGCAATGGCCGCCCAGGGTCACAGGCGCCCTGCTGCCCCACCTCGCTCTGCACTCAGGGTACCCCTGAGGTATGGCTGAGGGATGGAGTGGGGCTTTCTCTCCTGGAGTCCACAGTGCTTTGCCCGAAGCCCAGGCCCTGCAGGCAGCCCCAAACCCAAGCCTTCATGACACGAGGACACTTTCATGGCACTAAGCTGCCATCTGTGAGGTGCCAGCTTGCAGGTATGGAGCTGGCAAGACTAAGACCACAGGAAGACCAGGGAATTTGGTGGCTTTCCAGACCAAGGTCACAGGACCGGAGCCAAGCAGAGAATGTGCCACAATGGGTCTGGTTGGGGTGACACTGGGACGGTGAGCTGGGGTTCCATGGGCAGGCGTGGACCCTGCAGGTGAAGAGCAGTGCAAACATGGGGGGGAGTGGTCAAGTCAGGGAGAGTCTGGGTGGACAAATGACGGTCACTACAACACAAGCACTTCCACACACAAAGCGACAGTCTGGCTTTGCACCAGCCAGTGCTCAGGTGGTCAGTCAGAAATGGACCGGACAAGGATGACAGAACTGAAAACATATAAAGGCTTTATGATCCACAGATGCAGTATTTGATTATTTGTGATAATACACAGTTCAAGTATGTAGGTTTGGTGCAGAGAAGACCGACAAGACAGAAGATCGGTGGTGAGGTCTCAAGCTCTCAGGCAGCCAAGCCTGACCGGCCCCACCTGCCTCATCTTGCTGGGTCTGTCACCTGCAACTGAGTGCATACTGACTGTTCCCTCAGTCCGTAGATTCCCCTGGGCTCCCTATCAAGACCAGCATGGCCCAACATGATACAATGCAAGCCATGTGTGTAATTTTAAATTTTCTAATGGCACCTTTAAAATTAATAGACAGTTTATTTAACCCAATCAATATACCTGAAGCATCACTTCAGCACATACCACAAAAATGATGAGATAGCCCACACTCATGTCTTGGAAACCCAGTGTGAGTTCTATGCTTACAGGGCATCCTGATTTATACTCGCCTTGTTTTAAGTGCTCGGCAACCACCTGTGGCTGTGGCTGCCTGTTGGACAGTGTGGATCTGATGACCACGTTTTGCAAATGATGGCAATGTTTACTGGCTCTTCTCTCCGCCTGTTTCAGGGGCGCGGGTACCAACAGCCCAGCTGGAAGCTCCTGTTTCAGTATGAGGTTGAACAGAAGCAGCAATACCAGACCTGCTGTCTTGCTGATGTTGGTGACAATGCTTCCCTACTAAGTGGGTGCTGGCTCTGGGACGTCAGTAAATGTCTTTTACTGGCGTGAACATACCTTCCCATTCTTGGCTTTCTGAGAACTTTGTTTTGCTTTAAATCATGACTGGGTACTGGACTTTATCACAGGTCTTCCCTGTGTCTGGTGGGCAATCCTGTGCCTGTCCTTACCATTAGTGATGTGTTCACAGCTTGTCTCATATTAAAACTTGGCTATAGTGCTGGCTACAGTTCTTTTCTTAAAGGAATCGCCCGGCTGGTGGGGCTCAGTGGTTGAACGTCGACCCATGCACCAAGAGGTCGCTGGTTCGATTCCCGGTCAGGGCACATGCCCAGGTTGTGGGCCCGATCCCCAATGGGGGGAATGTAGGAGGCAGCCAATCAACGTTCTCTCTCATTGATGTTTCTATCTCTCTCTCCCTCTCCCTTCCTCTCTCTCTAAAAATCAATAAAGAAAAAAAATGTTAAAAGGAATTGTGGAGTCTGTGAACATGCCTCTGAGACCAAGTCATCGTGGGATCCTAGGTGACCTGATCCCTGGGTCTCCTCCTGTGCTGCCCCCTCTGGGTGGGTCCTGTGTGAACGTTAGGATTCCAGTCAGTGGATCCAGTGGGAACAACATTAGGGTTCCAACCAGTGGATCCAGTGGGAACAACATTAGGATTCAGGCAGTGGATCCAGTGGGAACAACGTTAGGATTCCAGCCAGTGGATCCAGTGGGAACAATGTTAGGATTCCAGCCAGTGGATCCAGTGGGAACAACGTTAGGATTCCAGCCAGTGGATCCAGTGGGAACAACGTTAGGATTCCCGCCAGCTGCCTCTTTAGAGAAATGTCTATGGAGGTTTCTAACAGCTGTTTCAATGTTTCTAAGACTACTGTTTATCAAGATTTCTCTTTCTTTTTTATTTCATTTCAGTGCTTTTGTCAATGAAAAAATCTCCGGAAGTCCTCAGACGTTTCCTCCCCCACCAAAATTCCCAGTGTGCATGATTCAAAGATAACTGAGCGAAGCTGCCCAGGATGATCATTGTGACTATACGTCAGTCTCGATCTACTATCTCACTGCTAATATTATTTGTGCCTTCTAAAACTTTTCAGGCTATGGTGACAGATATTCTTCTATTTTATTAATCTGCTTACAGAACCAGTTTGAGGTGGTCCTGGTATACTCTGTGTCCCATTCAGTTATTCTGATTCTGGCTCCTACAAGAGTCTCTTGCTAACAGTCTAGTTCACGTCTCGCAGTAGAAGTCAGGAGCATTATTTTCAGAAATACCCTATTTCCCAATATTCACATTGAGAACACACAACTTCCTCTCAAGTACCTCTTTAATTTAATCCCACATGTTTGTACCTTTCCTTTATTTTTAACACTTAATTTAAAATAATACGTCCTTTTATATCCTTAGTGATTATTTTATAATTCTGCTGCAGAGGGAAAAGAGGTTGCAGTCTATAGGAGACACTTCCCTCCTGTTGCCAAGATATGACCCCAACCATGCACCCTTCTCGCCACCCCTCAGGCTGCCCTCGCTGTTGGGGTGCCAGCTGGGAGCTCAGCATACCTGCTCTGCTGTTAAAATTGACAGCGGGACCTCTCTACTCGATTTGCAGAGAAATCAAGCTGCTGGGGAGTTCACTGTTTGTTCCCATACATCGCGGTTTGGTGCTTGTGCTGCAGACAAAGGGAGCAGGCACAGCCACGGAAAATCTCCGAGTCCGCACACTTGATGGACTGGCATTCAGACCACACCCTGCTCTGCAGCATTTTCTGTTTCCAGGATGGTTTCTACAACAAATCACGGTCTGAAACAACCGTATCTCAGGGGGCTCCAGAAAGAGCACATGATTTCCAGCTCCCCACCCCTGCATCGGAGACCCACAGACTAGGATGGAAGCAGCAGAGAGAAGCTGGTGAGACCTGGTCAGGGGACGCAAACCTGCCCAGCACCCTGACTCGGGGCCAGAGTGCTGCTGTCCAGGTTATTTGGTTAATTAGCAACACAGGTTCCTGTAGGTTGGCCAGCGGCCACGGAATTCACTCGGCCATTCCACATGGAACACAGTATGTAATGCATTAGTGCTTATCAGGAAGGACGCAGTCCTGTTTCTGAGTTTCTCAGCAAACAGGGAACAAACAGGGTCCGACCCTCGGCAAACAGACAAGCCTCCAATGAGATGAATGGGTGGATAGGGACATAATATAGACCCATGGTGAACTGCCTGGCTCTGCCTGGAGGATGGGGAGAAAGCAGTTCTACTGAGGAGTGTGTGCATGCGTGCGTGTGTGTGTAAACCACACCCCACAGGGTATAGGGGTTCCCGGCATCCCAGGCTAAAAGCCCCTGTGTTTCCCAAGTGCTCCACCAGGTTCCCACAGCTGTCTTTACCTTGCTCGAGCACACACGTGGCCAGTGTGTTCTCTGCCAGGCTCAGCCTTGCTCCCAAGGCTACAGAAACCATCTCCAGAAAGGGGAGGATCTGAAAGGCCTGCTGCAGCTCCTTCTAGAACCTTCTGTGGGTTTTGGTCATTTGTTCTGAGAGTAGGCTACCCTCTGGTAGGACCCTCCTGCCCTCCTGCACCTTCTGGCTCACCTTATCGGCTCTTTTGCCTCCTGTGTCCATCCCAAGCCCAGACACCTGCCTCTCTGTCCTCACTGTCCCCCATGTCCTGGTGTGAACTGGCCAAGGGCCTCAGCCTGTCTTGGCTGACTTGGTGCTTCGGAGCCACAGAGAAGACGGCCTGAGCAGCCACGACAACCACGTGGACATACGCAACTCTGGAGGGGATGAGAAAAGAGGTGTCATGGCAAACATATCCCTAGAAAATCCTGGCCAGACTGGAAACACACAGAACCAGAAACCTCTGATGAAAACCAGGCCACTGTGCTGTTTCCAGGCCGTTTTGGCTGAACACCAGGAGTGCACCACAGTGATCAGTGACCAGTGAGACACGACGATTCCTCCCGAGGTGGCTGTGCTGTCCTCCTTTGCCAGCCCAGAGGGCGAGCCCACGGCTTGGTGGAGTCCTAGTACTTTGTTCCCCATCAGTAAGACGCAGGGAGGCGGAGGGATGCACGGAGAGAGGGCAGCTGTCCACTCCCCACACCCCAGATGAGACCCAGCACTGTGCTGGATACTGACACAGACGCCTCAGCCCAGGGAGAGCCCTCAGGACCTGCTCCCACTGAAGCCCTCGTAGAAGCCACTCCCCCCACGGAGGCGGGGCAGCACCTGGCATCCGACTCCTGTGCAGGCAGCAGCTGGTGTGGGCTGGGATAGTGGCCCTGGAGAGGGAGGGCCTTGCTCCCAGGTGACGACTGGCTGGTGCTCCAGGAATGGGGGTCCGGCCCCACAAGAGGCAGAAACAGCTGAATATTGGGGAGAATGCTGTGGATGGGGAAGGAAACATCCCTCTCGAGATGTGCCAACAGCTACAGCCTTCCTGCCATTAACAGGAATCCTGGCTACCCTCACTCTTCCTGTGAGCTAATGAGGGTTTGTAACCCAGTCCCATGAGGAACTGCACTTACAGCCTGGCTGAGTTACTTAACTACTGGAAACCAACAACGGTAAACTGTCCCATTAAAA